AGCAAGGAGTAGTTCTAAGTGTCTTATTGAGCTGTCCGTTAATGTAATTGCGGCGTTCATTAGGATTAATAGAAAGGCCGCCGCAGCCTTACTAGCGCATTTGTTTCTCCTCCAGGGAATTATGTTCGCATCGACCCGGCGAGCAGAGAGGACCAGGGTGGGGACCCGGCTTAAGTGGACATTTATGCCACGCATGGATTGTGGGACCTGCGTATTCACTGTTTGTTTTGCCTTCGGCTAAGACGCGCGCTACTGCATTCGTTTTCGTGTTCCTTTTTTCGCGCTGATTTCGCGGCCGGGCGTTGTCTTGTTTTTGTGGCATTAAATAAAGTGGATACAAATTTTATGATTTTATTCACATACATTTCTAAGTAAGGTGTGCGTAAATTCAACGTTGCAATTTGGGTACATCGGAAATCTTTTTGGCATGTTGCATTCTTCCTTCCTTGCTTGCTTGGTTTAGTGATTCATGTTTACGAGCACGTCAACTGCAATGGTCATTAGTCCTGTCATGTTGTGAATGTTTTATTTCGGGAGGTGGCGGTGTTCTACTTCTGCTGAATACTGAAATCCTGCGCCGACCTACATGTCGGCTTGAAAAGTATTTCCTCCTCCAAGTATCACTCCCGGGGGGACGAGTTCTAAGATCGCAACTGGTATCCCGGCATGTGTGGTAGTGTAATGCATGTAAATATGTGTCAGTAAGGGGAGAAGATAGAATCAGGAGGAAGAAGGAAAGATCGCGCGCAATGTTTGCCAGTTTGTTAGGGTATAGCTTTGGCATTCGTCTGATATTGACCGGAGAAATCACAGAAAACTACAGTCTGGTTCTGATCAGAGCAGCCTTCTGTTAAATTCTCCCGGGGAACGGCTGAATTCGACTTAACAATCTAGTTAGTGTTGAAAGCCGTCAGACTCGAACCCAAGGACCTTCCGGCCAGAGAGACGGTAGAGCTAGCATCTGGCATGTTGCATGAACTGCTGTATGTTCAAGTTGATGTGCATGCATGTTAAATTTCACTTCATAATGAAGACATCGGCTAGGATTTACATGCATGGAGCTTCGATGCGTCTTTTACTTTTTCATTACTTTTCATTGAATTTATTTCTAATTCCTCTTTTGTCATCATTTTATATTGTTACTAAAATATGAAGTGAAAATGGTGGTAATAAACATCTAAGTTACTATTAAACGAGTTGACCCTCATATTTCTTAAATAATGTTTATAATTGAAATTTGAAATTATAAATTAGCATTTTAAGCATGTCGAGAATTTTGCGAAAAGCGATATCAACAAATAAATACTATAATTGAAAAGAGATTAATTCTAATTTTACAATTTTTATTAGAAGTTGTTCTACTGCTGCGAATAATCCCTTAATTTATGTAGAACACTTTATTTCTAATATGATTTTAACAGTTCTTATTACCATAATGAATACAATATGCTTTATATAAAAATGCTTTCGTCCTCAAATAAAGATGTTAAATCTGCCAGCATATGATATAACAAGCAACTCACCGTTAAAATACCCTGTGTAATTACAAATGATATACTGTAAATTGTTCAATTATATAACAATTTATCTTAAATAATTAACTTCTTGTCGTTCGATATCCATCTAACTAACTTCGTTTGTGATGGAGTCACCAATTACGAATAATTTGTACATCGATAACGCGGTTCATGTGAGAGTCAAGATGATAATTCATTGCAAAAAAGAGTGATTGGGTCGGTGAGTTGCTCATGTTCGTGTAAAGTGAGGAAGTCTTCGAAAAACGAATGGCAGCATTCGTAAGCATCGAACATCGCTTCTAACAGTTTTCTTTCTTGGTGGATTACTAATAGAATAACACTATTTTCGCTTCGCTTGGTTTAAATGCCTCTCATATTCTGAAATACGGACAGAACCTTTGGCAGCAATCAATTATTAGTAAGAACAAATAGTTTTTATGTGTTGAATGGAACAATTACAAATTGAAGGGAAAGAGAAGATGCACTCGTATTGATGTTACGCCACCGTATTTCGCCTGCGAACGTGAAATTTCAAACGCGTCTTCTGAAAATCAAGCTTTTTACGCCAGTGTTGCAGCAAATGAACAAACCGAACCCGCTGCTTTGCTTGAAGTGCCGATGCATGTCCTGCCCAATCTTTGCGCGAGGATCGGCGCCGATCTGAGTGCGCGGTTCTGCCTCTGTCCCTAGGGCGCCCGTGACGGCGGTGAGCTTCTACCCGCACGGAGGCTACCTCATGAGCGTCGACATGAAGCGCAAGGCGGTGCTGTGGGCCGACGTCTGACTGGCCGGCCGACCGCAGGCGGCGCTGCCCGCCGCCCCCGCGCCCGCGTCGCCGCCGCTTCACCCGCAGAGGCAGGCAGGCGCTCCGCCCGCCACCCACGCCTCCGCCGACGTCTTCGTCACAGTCGTTGTCAACGTCGTTCTCTCCGCCGTCGTCGTCATCGTCTCTCTCATCGCCATATCCACACTCGTTATCATTATCGTCATCCTCACCGTCACCGTCATCTCAGGCACACTGTTCACCGTCGCCGGCATGGTCGCTCTCCAAATAGAGGCGGTGACGTCACACGCATGCCACAACAGCTGAAACGACGCAGCTATGAAGTCGAGAAAGTGAATTTCGACTCTCAAACTGATGAATTTTTTAAAACACCAATTTTTATAACCATGAAACAAATTCTATGAAACACAATGGAACATTCATTTTTCCACTTCTCTAAACTCTTGAGTCAATTCGAGCGATTTGTTCGTTTATAAATGCCTTTAAGTTACATAATCGTTCGTTTCATTATTGCGAAATAAAGATTTTTTTGTTGCTACGCTAGAATGATAGTTGTACGCAGTGTGATTTCCGTCAGTTGCCTGAAACAAGAATGCAGGATAATTTGAATGAACTGGTAGAATCGAAATAGAGGTTGCATATAGTATTGTTTAGAATGGAAGAAGGCATCTGGTGTTACTGATTGTGATTTTATAGAAAAAAGGGGATAAATACATCACAATTTTGAGGTAGTAGATGGTGAGAATCTGTTTATTAATACTCGTAAACGAGACTTTGTACGCAAGTGCAATAATGTGATATGAACTTCTCATGGTGACTACCTTGTATGTAGTTCAAATTAAATATGAGATATATAGATAGTTTTATATGTTCTGCCTATAGCAGTGTCGGAGCATTATGTTGTGCTGTTGTCTCTTATTGAGATATCCATGTTCATGTTTTCTTACCGTTCTGGAAGGAGCTTATCTCAATGAAATAGTCTCAGCCCACTTGTTGGGGTTCACGTGTGCTCTGGTCATAAATATGTGAATTTTCGTCCGTTTCGTACCTGTTTTGTTTCCTAAAGGGCGAAGAATTTGGTAGGACAAAAAAGAAAATGACCTCTTAGTCACAGTCCATGAGATCAGCTCCCTCGAGAAGTGTCTTTGCTGCGTTTTGTACCTGAAGGTGAGAATTGCCAGTTATCAGGTCGAAAGCGCTAGAGCCTAGTCAGGCGTCGTGGTAGATGTCTGCTATTTTCTTACTCTCATATGCGATACGTGTTCATTCCAATTGGTAACGCAAAGAACTTTGATTGGCTTTTATCTTCGACTATATTATTCAAGTTGCAATTAAATAAAGCTCTAGGTGTTTGTATTTGGTTTTATATTTTCAAGTCTGAGTTCTTTTAATGTTTGTGTTTTGTAGACTGACTAATATTAATAATTATAAATATATTATTATCCTTCAGTCCAATTCTCTCTTTAATTTATAGAAAGTCCGCACTTCCAGATAGTTATTGTAGAAATATTTCTAAAAATATTAACATGTTAATTGTTATAAAAGAATTTATGAATATTTAGGTATCATTCAAAAAAATAATAGAAAAATTCTTGATGTTGTAAAAATATTTTTTTCTGTACTGAGTCGATAAACTTTGATGTTTGGTGCTTTTTTATATTTCGTTTTGCAAGACATTTCTTAACCCCACTTCCACGAGACCGACGCTTGTGAGTGAGGGATAGTAGCTTTTGTATTTGGGCGTGCACGGAATAATTTGATTAATGTATATTGTATTTTTTCCCTCACTATAGAATAAGTGTACTGTGAATTGCACTTTCTGTTTTATATATCAAGTGAGAATCCTGTGCTGAGAATTTGTGTGTTTCATTCCAAGAGTCATAAAATTACGTTAATGGATGTATGGGTTTATTTTTGTTAGCAATATGTTGCTCAACTTATTTTATTATCTATATACTGATCAATAAATCCTAATGATTCTGTTTCTGTACTCTTATACAAGGATTATGTACTTTTAAATAAAATAAGTTCCTTGTCTTTAAATTGTACGATAATTCTTCTTCTTCATTTCAGGAAAAGAAAATACCATCTTACTGAAACATTTGTTGTCTTGTAATACAGCGTCAAATTACTGTACCGATTTTTATAACTTAAACGTTGACGTTACTTCATTTCGTTTGCATTACAATCCATCTACTGATACACTGCATATACCAATGAAAACTCCATGATTAAAGAGAGTACTTCAGTTTCGTTATTCAGAGTTTCCACTCTATTTAATATAAATGTAATATTCAGCGAATTGTAGGAGAAAAGTAATTCATGAGTATTGAATTTGAATTGAATAGAATTTGCCTTATTTTACGTGGCGAGACTCGGGCCATCAGGCCCACTCTTCCGTCTGACCACGCAAATTTCGCTACGCTCCTTTCACCAACTAGGAGAGAAAGGAGGTATTTCTTGGGCGAGAAACAGGCGATTTGAATTTAGCTCAGAGGCGTCATTTAGGCTTGAGGATCTTTTACATGCAAGTAAATCTACGAACATGGGACAGCCGGCTTTACTTCCCCTCCGAAGGAAGGCGTACGAAGGATTTTTTCGCCCTTAAAAATCCACGGCTTCGAGTAGCGACAGTAATGTCGATGTTTCATGAAGACAGTCTTGCTCAGAATGTTTTATCCGTTTATCTCGTCCACCATTTCACATCACTTCTTGGTTGAGAGTTCAATTGCATCCAAATCAAATAAAACCGAATTTTACGTAGGTTTAATAATTTTTAGGGAAGGTTTTGCGCGATTATTGAGGTATAGAAAGCAAAACATTGGAAGTGCTGCAGAAGGCTGGATAGCACTAGTTAGTAGTTTTAATTTTTCTACGAACTCCGGTTTAGTTATGACAAATTTAATCGGCGGACACCACATTCATCTTTCCGTATTTTCCTTATTTGCGAATGTCTGACAGTCCAAATTTAAGTGTCTACTTGAACGCCATCATATCAAGATATGCTAACCATCCCACTTCTGATGAACAAAGCAGGATTAAGCTTACAAAGAAAGAAATAGTGGTACTACTGAATGGACAGACTTTCTCGCACTAATAGTTTCCTGTACTCTTGTGTCTGGCTCTTTTCGGTTTTGCCTTGAATTAACTACAATGTTTATTTAAAAATATATTTAACTTTATAAATAATTAACACATGTTTCACGAATCTTACCGCTTCTTCAGTGGCTCTACAGTGAAGAAAATAGGTAATCAAATTGAATTAACATATGAAATGAAACTATTTTAAATATACAAATTGGAATAGATGAAATACAAGAATGGACGATGTAAAACCCTTAGAATTAGGATTTTACTCGTTATTACCTGATTACACCCGCATATTATGGATTATACTCTTGGAACTAAATGTTTTTGAAAATGCGCACAATTTTTAGAGAAAACTTTCGAGTTTTGGAGAAACTTCATAAGAAGTCATTTGAAGTACCTACAAAAGCAATAATACATAAAAGCACCCTGTTTTTCAATATTTCCGATGTAGGATGTTAATATATCATATAATACATAAAGATTGTGTTTTTGTCATTTTATATTTTATCATCAGTACATTTATTATCATCATTGCAAAGCGTTTAAAGAAAAAAATTGACGCCATTTTTTTAGGAAATGTTGCTTTTAATACTGTTCCTAATTCACTCAAATTTGTGTGAAAACTAATATTTTCAAAAACGTTCATGACATTGAATTCTGAGGAACAACTTTCATGCGAAATGAAATCTCCAATTGCGGATTGATTGGTTAAGTGTGATAAATTGTAATAATTGATATTAGAACAGATTATGTTCATCCTAATGTTTAATATATTTATTGATAAAGTTATTAGGGTAGTTGTTGGCAACAAGAATTAATTTTATACACGAGAGATATTCACTATGATAAATGATAGCCATTTCCAGTCTGTGAATTGTTCAGGGGCTGTAAAGAAAATTAAAATGGTGCCTGAATGAGGTTGTTGTAGGAGTATCGTGTCCGTCGCGGTTAGGCGGGTGGGCGTGAACGCGTCTAAACCGAGTTTCATGGGGCCTCCGAGGGAGCGGGGCCGGCCCGGCCAGCGGCATCGTGGTGCGGCGACGTGCGCCGCTGGGGTGTACTTTTGTGGCGGCCGGCTTACTAGGTGGGCGGCGGCTCAGCATCCCGTGGGGGCCTGCGCGCGGAGGCGCGAGGGCGGGGCGGGGCGGGCGCCGGGCGTTAGCGGTGGCTCGTGCTAATCCGACAAGCGCCCGCCAGCAGCCTCCGGCGCCGCGGGCCGCCTAATGCCCGCTCCCACCCCCCACCTCCCGGCAGACACCACGGGCGAGGCGCCGCCCCTCGGGGCCTCACCCTCCCCGTCCCCACCAACACCACCACCACAAACTTTGCTATGCGGCGCTCTGCGGCAATAGTTCTTAACTCGTGATCTGCGAATCCTCAGATGTTCATGATGGCGATCATCATGAGCTAGAAAACATACTAAGGACTCCTCCGAATTAGAATAAAGAGGAAGGGGAGGCATTATTTGCCATTCTACCAGTTATACTTCATCATTAAGTGAAAATTTTCGGACTAGCATATAATAAAAAAAACCAAAGATCTATATTACTAATTCCCAATGTGCGCAGAAATTGAAAGAATAATATGGAATGTGTTCTTAAGTATTGACGCTCTTTGGAGGGTGTCTAATTGTTTTGCTAGGTATCCTGGAACTCGAAAAAATCCAAAACCAATGAAACTGTTTCCATTGAGACTGAAAAATGAGGTCGATTGGATAAATTGTGTTATTCCGCCTATTCTCTTACTGCTCATTCTATGACTGAATTGTCACATTCAATGCACCACTTCGTACGACGCAGCAGACGTCATGCGGCAGCAAGAATCGACGTTTCGAGTGAAAAGCGCCGGGATAAGGAAACGGTCTTTCTGATGATCGATAAAAGTGGCTCAGAGATGTATGGAAACTATAAAACGCAAAATTAAATATGCCGTGAAGTTCAAACATCAAAACAGAGAGTACAAATATGTCAAAAATTGGAAGTCAAAACTACAGTTTTCTTCAGGCTGGAAAGAATAGCAAGAATATTTTGAACTCCTGCTGCAATTTGAGCAAAAAGAAAAGTATTCATAAGGCAAGAAAGTAAATTTACTTTCGTACAGTTGATAAATCTTATTTCATAAAAAGATGCATTATTGTTTCAAAAAGAATGAATGGCATGTCGTAATTACCATTTACTCGTATTAAGTAATTTGTTTTCATACACATTCAATTCGCTTGCATGTAATGAACGTGTGTGTATTATATTATGAAATATTATCTTGAAATGTTTTTTATTTTCGCTTATGTACTAGTTCTGCAACGCTATCGCACATAAAGTGTGGCTTATTTCTTACTCGAGAGGCAAAACGGATCCGTCGTGACAAATCTCTGATCTCTGATTGGCCCCCCTCGAGCAGGACGGTCGATTGCACGAGGTTCGAGAATGAAACTCGATTGCGAGCGAGGAAGCGTTTGAAACGCCAAGTAGCAGTGTGGTTCATAAAGTCGGGTCATTTGCCCTGGTGTTAATAGTTCATTGAAATTGAGCTGCAATTTCATTAATGTTAGTAAAATTATTAAAAATAAATACCGCCGTAAACAGCTTTAATGACTAAGAACTATACGGTTTCAATTCAGGGTAGAATTACCAGAACTCAGAATCTACAAGTTTTATGTTTGCCTTTTTTTTCTCTTATATATTTATCTTTGTTAAATTTTATTATTTTTTTCTTTAATGTTCATCTTATTCCGAACTGTGTTTAGCACTACATCACACTATACACGCATCTAAATGTCAATAGTTCACAATATTCTACCTTCGACACCATTATAGATAATTCAAAATATTATAAAAATCTTCTAAAACACGAACTATTCGTCACAGTATGTGCTTCTTCATATATAATGGTAATAATACGAAACTCAGCAACCAGTAAGAAATTCCAGAATTTTACGGAAGTAATAAAACACTATAAATTTCATGTTTACTTACTTTTTCCCCAGTGGATAACATGACGATTAGAGATTATTTTTCATTATCTCAGAAAGTTAATGTATAATTTCAAAGTACGTACGGTGTTACTCAATACTATTCTTGATATACAAATATATTTTAGTCTATAATAGGACCCGCGCATTAATTTTTCACGGTTTCATTTTTCCCTGCATATTAACCATAATGGACAGCATGGTGTCAATATGCCATTAAGAGACCCAGGATATCTAAAATAGCCGTCATTACTAGAATTGAAGTTGCAGGATAACTATATTTGTTTTGTGTTATTTACGGAATAAATACAAATTTCTCAAACAGGCGAGTTTGAAACTCGTTAAAGACGCTTTTGTTAACTACATCATATTTCAAACCGTGAACACACGTTCTCGTCGATATTTGACACATTCTATGTAGGTGGAGTAAAAATATACTCTGTATGTTGTGCGAAGCAAGTGATTAATTTCGTTCTTTCTTCTCTAGCTTCATTGTTTCGCAAGATGGAGTGGATATAGCATGCCATGACCATGCCAAAAAGTAATTTGCGCGCGTTTGTATTTTTCTCTTCGATTTTACGTTCTCTGGGACAAATTCAAACGTGCAGATTTCGAAGATGACAGCAGTTTTCGATTTCAATTTCGACGTGAAACGCTTTTCGCGATTGAGTTCGCTAGCCACGTCACCAACACGCATATCGGCAAGTCGACCTGCTGTCGCCCCCGAGGCCACATGTCCGCCGCTCTGTGCGGCATGAAAATGGTTCTCTACAGGATCCCTTGTCTTGTACTGACGCAGCATGGCAGGTTGGAGAGAGTAGAAACTCGCAGACAAATTAATTAACTAGACATAAATATCTAAGCATGACGCGCTGCATGAACTGTTTATCCAAGTATATTTGTTTTAAATTTTGAAAATACCCATCAGAACGCCAATAAAATTAAATTGAAAATATATTGAAAAAGAACGTGAGGCGAGTATTTGTGCTA